CTTTCCAAATCCAGATATTGTGTTGCTAAGACTAGACAACGAGATTAAAATAATGAAGGAAAAAATAACAGATAAATCTTTTCAACAACCATCCCGAGGCAAAAAGACTCAAAAAAATAGAGTAATTCAGTGGGATCTTCAAAAATAAAATCTGACAAAAACTGACAGATGGGAAGATCAAGAGTAAGAATAAAAGCATCTTTAATACCATCAGACAATTGCAAAAACTCTAAAAAAGTAAAAAAGTAATATTTCGACAAATGGTAAGTCTAAAATTGTTTACACCTGAACACAATTAATAACTACACCGAAAAATCAAGACTGTATATCACAAAGACAGGCGCGTATAAACAAAAGACGAAAATCCCGTCGAAAAAATGATTGCCAGCACCAATGATCTGCTGTACTCCCTTCTATCCAAAAACCGCCTTTCTCAATCTCTTTTTGAAACATTAATTCCTCCAAATGACTTGGAGCTCCCACATTTATATTTTAAACCAAACGATCATAAATCCAATGAACCTTTAAGACACATCGTAGTCGGTATTAAATCTCCCACTGCTAGAATTTCTCCTTTTCTTGACAAAACTTTACCTTCTATTTTCGAAAAACATACTTTCTCTTATACGTTCCAGAATTCTCTACAATGTTTATCCTTTCTTGACCAGTATGACATGACTGACGACATTCTTTTAGCCACTTTCGATGTAACAAATTTATACACAATTATTCCTCAAAAACAACCAGCCATTGCATGAGAGAAACAACAAGTCATGCTCAATCGATGTCTTAGATTCACTTCTAACTAGTTCTATCTTGTTCAGCATGTGTGAAAACCTATAAATCCAAATTTTGAGCCTTCTAGGATCTTTTTTACCTCAGACCTTCAGCCCGACACCGAAGGTCTTCTGAGGATCATAGAGGTTTATATTGTTTCATGCCATTCTCTAGCGCGTGGCTTAAGTATAAAACGAGATGCACTTTTCCATAGACATTCAGGTGTAGACTATTGAATCCGGTCTCAAACGTTTGGAGTCTTATAAGGATCTCTGGAAAACCTTTGAGACTTTCTACCCCTTAAGTTTAAAAAAGCAAAGAGGACAAAATTCTGAAGAAAATGAAGTATTGCTCATATTTTTAGCAATTACTTTAAAAGATGAGAAAATAACAGATGTTCAAGCAAAAATGGTTTACTGTAAAACCCTAATTTTAATTAATTAATTTGTCGAATTTATGGCTTAGAAAAACTGAAAAACTATCAATGATATCTCATTTTGTTCAGAATTTTGTGCTCTTTCCAATTATGTAACTTAAAAGCTTTTCTGGCAAACTTAAGGGGTAGAAAGTCTCAAAGGTTTTCCAGAGATCCTTATAAGACTCCAAACGTTTGAGACCGGATTCAATAGTCTACACCTGAATGTCTATGGAAAAGTGCATCTCGTTTTATACTTAACCCACGCGCTCGAGAATGGCATGAAACAATATAAACCTCTATGATCCTCAGAAGACTTTCGGTGTCGGGCTGAAGGTCCGAGGTAAAAACGATCTGATTGCATTATTTGAGATTTAAAGATTTTAAATCGAGTTCATGTTCTCAAATTCATATCGCTCAGAAAACGGCGGCGCTCTTTTAGTTTTCTATTTTAGGACGTTGCTTAGACAGAAAGAATTCATTCAATTTCATTTTACAGCACTACTTCATTTTATCTCCAATTTGAACAAATATATTTTAAACATATTATTTGAATAAATCTTAAGTTTCTTCACATAAAAAATTCATGGCACGATGTCTAAAAGATTAAGCGTTCAAAAAACATGCAATACACGATAGAAGAGAAGAAGATGTGAGGTCGGTGATGTACCTTTGGCTAGTAATTCGGAACCATCTCAAAACACTCCAGAAAATGATCGTCAAAATCAACTTCTTAGAGAAGCCTTATCATTATTAGGCGTAAATTCACCACCAAACGCTTCATATACCACACTCTTGGATTTTTTCGAAGCTAATAAAAGCAAAGCAGCAACTAGTAAATTACAGAATGATAGTCTTGGACAGGTTAACAGAAAGGGCAGTCCACAATCACAATTAGCAATATCATCTAATCTTCCAATCTTTTCAACACTTGCAGTATCACCAGCAATTACCACTGACGATGTTTTGACACCACTATCAATTTCTCTACCAACTCCGTCTGCAAATGAAAGCTTCAGTAATAAATTCAATACACCACCAACTAATTTCACAGTAACGCCATCAGCCACTACAGATGAATTAGCTAAAGAAGAACTAAGAAAAGCCTTAAGTAAGTTAACAACAGCAAGCGACATTTTGCCAGTCTCACCTCCATCAGCTTCAACTGCCTTATTACAAACACCAATCTCAGTCAATGAAATAAACCACAGAGTCACGTATGCATGCTACGACACCGGTGAATGTAGAACAATTAAAGAAACAGCTTTTGCACCACCCTGAAAAAGATCTAATTAAATTTCTATTGGATGGATTTTCCTACAGCTTTGACATTGGTCTTTCACAATTACCTACCACTCCTCTACACTGCAAGAATAACAGTTCAGCGCGAGATGCTCCGGAGGTGGTGGATAAACTTATCCAAGATGATGTCGAGAAAAGATTTTTGTTGGGACCATTCACCGAAATTCCATTTGAGACGTACAGAATATCTCCAATTGGCGTGGCTTATGGTAAATATTCTGGTAAGGCTATGTTGATTGTCGATTTAAGTGCTCCATACGATCTTCAACATCATTCCAGTATTAATTCCTTAATTGATAAGGAGCAATATTCATTATCGTATGTGACATTGGATGATGCTTTAAAAATTGTTAATCAGCTTGGACCACATACATCAATGCCTAAATGTGATATGGTCGATGCATTTAAACAAGTTCCGGCCAGACCGGACTTGTGGAAATTTCTCGGTATCTGTTGGCGAGGCATGTATTACTTTTATAAAGTGTTGGTTTTTGGCTGCCGATCATCGCCCAAGATTTTCGACTTGTTTTCGTCAACGATTTGTTGAATAGCGACCAATAACTACGGAATTAAAAACATACTCCATCTTTTGGACGATTTTATTGCATTTCACGCTCCACGAGAGCCTGATCCAAACATGATTCTGTTGAAGTTGTTGTTTAGACGCTTAGGTGTTCCACTTTCCCCTACGAAAACAGTTGGTCCGTCGTGCGTGTTAGAATATCTCGGCACGATCATCGATAGTTATTCCATGATAGTTAGATTAGCAGAGGAGAAACGTCTGAGAATTTTAGCAACAACAGAGAAATATATGGTTAAAAAGAGATGTTCAAAACGTGAAATGTTAAGTGTTATTGGCTATTTGAGTCACGCTTCCCGAGTCATTCCACTGGGTCGTTCTTTCATATCTTATTTAATTGCATTAGCTTATTCCGTAGGTCCATTACATTTTACAGTACCAATATCCAAAGACTGTCGTTTAGATTTAGAAATGTGGTCAGAATTTCTTAGAAATTGGGAAGGCTCTTCAATTACTCTATTTTTTTGAGTCTTTTTGCCTCGGGATGGTTGTTGAAAAGATTTATCTGTTATTTTTTCCTTCATTATTTTAATCTCGTTGTCTAGTCTTAGCAACACAATATCTGGATTTGGAAAG